TCCTGTAATCGAAGCATCTGCTGCATTGTATCATCTGCTGTCTCTTGTCGATTCTTCTCTGTATAGTCATCTTGTCGAACTTGGTGCCGAGCCACAGTACTTTGCACTCCGGTGGCTAAGGGTTCTGTTCGGGCGAGAGTTTTCGCTAGGTAATCTCTTGATAGTGTGGGACGAGATATTCTCTGCAGAGAATTTTGAAGAAGAGAGATCCGTAGAAGCAGATCATGCATATGGATTCAGGATCCTTAAATCTCGTCGGGGAGCTCTGATTGCAGGAATTGCGGTTTCCATGATGCTCTATCTAAGATCGTCTCTGCTGGCAACTGAAAACGCTACTTCTTCTCTCCAGAGACTGTTGAATTTCCCGGAGGACGTCGATCTGAGGAAAATCATTGAAAAGGCCAAGTCTTTACAGGCTCTGGCTCCGGAAGTCAACACCCCGCATGATTTTCTTCCAAAAGGGTCTCATAATCCGAGAAAACCGGCCTATATGAGAGGCCACAGCTTATCGCTTGATTCAATCTCTCTCGGTTCACCTGTAAGGACGGTACGAGAGAGCTACTGGGAGGAGAAGTGGAGAGTTCTGAACAATGCTGAAGAAGAAGAAGAGAGACAAAACTCGTCTTGGAGGCAGAAAACGGGGAAGAAGAGTTGGTCGGAAAGAGTGAAGCTGAGGCTTTCTAGGACAGAATCCGACCCTTCATCGGCCGAGAAGACTGTGAAGGGGAAAAAGGTGCCTGTCAGGCGGAGTTTGCTTGACAATTTGTCCCGACGGCTCACTGAAGAAAACACTGCAGCCGAAGCAGATGGTCACGTGTCTTCGAGCCCGAGCAATGACGATAACAATAACAATAACAATCAAGTGGATAGTGTGGAAAGTTTGTCCGTTATATCCGATACACCAAGCCTCGATAAGGGTGCAGATTACGATGAAAACGTGTCTGATAAAAGCAGCATTGGATTGGGTTTCTCCCGTTGCAACAGTAACAACAACCGTGTGGATTTGCCTCCTTCAGTTTCTGAAGAACGTGAAGACAAGAACGAGTTGAAAGACAAAACAGAGGCGGTGTTCTTCAGGGAAAGGAAGCTTCTATCTGGCAAACTCCAGAGGTTCTGGAGGTTTGGAAGAAACGATTCCTTTAGTGAGGAAACTTCTGGAAGAAAGGGAAGCAATGGGACCAATGATAATAAACTGAGAGGTTCTGAAAACGGGACGTCCGGTTCGGCGTTCTGTTCAACGACGGGGAAAGGAGAGACGCTCAAGAATATGGGGCTGTCCATGCTTGAACATATCAAGGTAAAAGTAGCGGAACAATGAGAGATGAATCTTACTATTTATTTAAACGGAAGTATGACACACTCCGTTTTCTTTTCTTTCTTTTTTTTTTTTTAATTGGGTTTAGGTGTTGGAGTCAGTTTTACAACAGCGAGATCAGATAACGGCGGAGAACATGTCTGGAAACGGACAGCTGACAGCTGAGGAGTCTCTCAGGGAGTTGCGGAGACTCAGTGATATGCTGTCAGAATTGTGAGTTGAATCCTTCTTCTTTTTTTTGTTCTGTGAGATACATTTTTTTTTTGTATGTGTGTGTTTGGAATTGTACATGTTCTAAGGCAAGAGAAGAAAATATCCAGTTTCTTCATATACAAGAAACCAACTTTCTTCAAGATTTTGTAGGTTCCGTGTCTCACAAGGTTTCTGACCCTATCTTTCTTAAGGACGTAACAAGTGAAAGTTGGATAAATCTAAAATCCGACCAGTTTTCCATTTCTGGGTGGCATTATTTCTTGTCCATTTAGAGACAGGATGAAAACGGACCAGTACGACTCTTATGGTGAATCTCCAAGAAACATTCTCAATTCAAATAACGAAACAAGCATGAATGGGTCACAGAGAAGAAAAGGAATAAACAATATAACCCTGATTGAATAACAATCCAATTAAAGAACGAATAATGAAATATATATATATATATATAAAGAGAGTCTAGAGAAGCATATGATGACGACTGCTTTCGTGGTGTTGAGGAGGCTGAAGCGCAAGGAAAGGGTCACCGAAGGGATTAGGAGATGAATCTGAAGTGTTAGGGAACTGATGATGTGAAGGGTAATTGTACGCATACTGATGTTGCATCATCGTCATTTGTTGCTGCTGCTGCGACAACGCAGCCATCTGAACGTTTGTCGGAGGTGAAATGCCGTTCGACATCGCGAACGGATCTCTCTGCATCTCGAAGGGGTTCATAAGAGCTTCTTCTGCATGTCCGTACCCTGCGTTGGTTAGTTGGATCTGTCTCCTTGCTGCTTCGTCCTCGTACAAACTTTCTAACAAAAGCTTGTCGAATCCTCCTGCCTGTTATTTAAAAACCACTTCCCTGATTAAGTTTGTCTCATCATTTAATGCGAGATTCGGGTTTGGAGGGGACTTACAAGTTTGGTTTCAACCGAAGGGCGAGGAACTCTGTTGCTGTTTTTGTCCTGAGGGGTGACCAGTGCCAGTTCCCATCCATTCCCTCCGGTTTCTACTAAGCTCAGACTGTTAGACGGACCTGAAGGCTCATGTCCTGCAAGAAACGTTTTTTCACGAAACGGTAAAAGATTTGCTAAAATAATGAGCGGTTATGTTGAAATACAGTCAAGATTGTTGTTTAGTAATATGTGGAGCTGGGTGCAAGTTCTAGACCCGATTTTTCGGCTACCCGGTCTTGTGGCTGGGATGCTCGTACCCACTACCAACAATGACGGGTGCGGTGTGGCTAAGAACTTGGACCGTTGCTTCTGATTCGGATTTTTCGAACCACGACGGTTACCCCGTGGAGTATATTCACTTGGAAGTAAGTTTACGATAATGTAAAATTAGCAATACTCCCTCACATCAACCAAAGTCAACAAAATTTCTGAAATTTTTACGAATTCAGGTATCCGCGAGTACCCGATTTCAACCGGCGGACCGAGAATGAAGTATTGTCTCAGAAATCCGTTAGGAAGAAGGCGAGATAGGTACCCAAAAATCCGGGTACCTGACCCACGCACAGAAACTTGGTTTCAACATGCTTCTTGGAGCAGTTTTTGCGAGAAAATTGGAGTAAACAATATTGAGAGAGAAATGGTAATGGTTTCTTTTACCCGGTGGGTATATTGCGAGAGCCAATGCATTACTTTCCTCTATCTCTGCAGCTTTTGGGTTTATTTCACTCAGACCCTGCAGGAGAATAGACCACGATGGTCACTGGATTTATTCTGCAGCGTTGGTAGAAGAGATGGTAAATTGGTAACATACAAAGTGTGTGTGTAGTAAGACAAACTTACAAGTAGGTCATCCGTGTCTATCAAGTTTGACGGTTTGGTCTCTTCCTCTTTCTCTTCTTTTTCTTCTTCAGGCCCCTCTTCTTCTATTAGCGGCTTACCGTCTTCGTTATTTTCAGTTTCTTCTTCTTCGGGCTGTGCAGGTTGTTCTTCTTCTTGTTCTTCTTCCTCTTCCTCTTTTTCCACGTATTCCTGTTGATAAAAAAAATCGTTACTGATAGATATTTCAGTATACACGTTAATTCCCAGGAGTAAGCCCTTCCCCCTCCCAAAACTAGCCGATTAATTCAGAACAAGTTACAGAGCAAGTATGTTAGATCGAAATGTGAGATGAGGTTTCAATGTAGTACCAGCGTTTTCTGAACGTAACCACTTTGAGGAGCCTCTTTAACGTACTCTTCCATTGTCGTGAGGAAAGACGGAGGAGGCTGAGAGTAGTTTAGAGAATAATAACCCGTTAGGCTACAATATCGCGTAATGTATGCACTTAAAACTCGATTGTAGAGTTAAGTACCTGTCTCAACATTGGAAACTGAAAGTTCCTCGCAAGCTCTAACCCTTTGCAGTACTCATAGAACTCGGCCAGATTTTCGGCCTAACGCAAAGAGGAAACCACAAAAAAAGTTTGGAGCATAAAGAGAAGATTCGGAGGAAGAACAAGAAGTAATATCTCACCTGTTGACCAGCCCTTTTGTATATATTGAGAGCTTTAACTGCATCATGCTTTGACATCTCGAAGAACTTCAGAAACATACGCTTTACTTCAGTTCAGCATTTGAGTGTAGGAAAAAAAAGGCCATGTAAAAGAAGACAGGGGAACTTTAACAGATCATTACCATGTCTACAAGATTAATTATACCGTCATTGATTGCACAGTATATTTTGAAGCTTTCTTTAAGCACCAACGTGAGTGCGTATTGGATTAGATAGTTGCTATAGGCTGCTCCTTCAGGCTGCAGAACTGAAAGCAAATTAGAAAAATTTTCCCCTTTTAGAACATTAAATGAGAAACTGGGTTTGCATAGGATTTCACCTGACAGCCGACAAGCCGGAAAAGCAGCTGTTGTAACGCAGGTAACTGATCTAGCACTTCTTCACCAGATAGCATCCGCGTTCTATATGTCTGCTAAGCATTTAAAGCCAGGTTCTGGCTACAGTTTGCGATACAGAAAACTAAATTAAGACTTTTTTTTTCATGATGAGAGTTGGGACCATACCATGGATGCACCCGAGGACTTCTGCAAAAGCTCTGCCTCGATGTCGTAATTCAAGACCCGATAACACTCAAGCCTCTCCTCTAGAAAGAGAGCGTATGTCCTAACCCACGCTGAGCAGTCCCAGGCTTCATCAAAAGACAAGACAGAAGTCAGTATTCTCAAGATATTTCGACAATGCTATGGCAAATCCATAGGATAGAGGGTGTTCAACCTAGAGGGCTTGAATCGTCTTTGAAGTTAGAAATTCGGAGTAAATGTCCTCTGTGTGAATAGTTCAGAAGCTCTTTTCTGAATGTAGGATCACCTTCTCTGAGTGTTCTGTGAATCACTATTAACACCTTGATGGCAACCTGTATGAACTCGATCAATTTAGTCCCAAGCATAAACGTTTTTTTGTAAAGAAATCATAGATACGTTCAAGAGAAACGCACGATCCAGTTTCGACTCTTGGACAATCTCTTGGAGAGTGCGTGAATGCAGTAAGCTACATCTGCTCGTGGTTGTACTTCAGATACCGCTGAAAATATTTCTGCAATATGAAAACCGCAAAGTCTCTTCAACCAGAAACGAATAATCAGTTGAGTATGAACCAAATGCAGGGTTGACTGAAATATGCACAGAGTGCTTACTGCGGACATGGCGTTCTTTCGGAGGACATTCCACGTGATTTGTGGCCTTGACGACGGCAACATCCAAATCCTACAAACCAATTGAATTCAAATAAGCATTCTACGCAGAATTTGAAATACTGGAAAAACCAAACATGCATTGTCGATGATCTTCGATCATACGCAGAATCCAAATCGCACACAGGAGAAAGGAGGAATCCGAATTCAAAATCCACAAAAGTAGGGAAACGGCATCAGGATAGAACCTTGAATTCGCTGTTGACCTTGGCGAGGCCAACGGTGGTGGAATCCTTGAGAGCTCCATAGGCTTTGCGGAAGTTTGGGAACGATCCCATGGATTCGACAATTTTTTTAGAATCAGAATCTGGTGGAAATGCTGAACAAATTTGAATTTCCAGCAGAGATCTCGACACTCCAACGATCTGAACGTATTGATGCGGAGCGAGAGGAAGAAGAAGACGGCGAAGACGATGACGATGTTGGGCTTCCCCTGTTGATTGCCGTACAGAAAAGGGAAACACGTTAACAGGCTCTACATTCAGCTTCTCTCTCCAAAACGTGCGTAACAGGTTATTAATTGTACGTGTAATTTTCTGTTTTAGATCATATTTCTCTCCTTTTTAATTTTATATAATTGATTATTCTCCTATAAAATGATCGTATCGTCTCTCTCCAATATGTATATGCATCGCCTCTTTCTCTCTCTAAAACGAATATGACTAACGAACAAACTAACAGGTTACGTGTCAGTTATAGTTGTAGATGACTCGTAATCCACTGGATCCTACGGTGGACTGTTCACAGCCGATCCTATACACCATACATGGGCCAGTTACGGAACATGGGCCGCGTCGCCTTCCTGTGTCCACGAATGAAAAACCACAAATCCCCGAATTCGAGGTTAGAGGTAGAGGTGAGATCGATTCGGTTCGGTTTATTTTTTATTTTGATTGGATTATTTCGTATTTTGAAATTTTATAAACGGATTATTTAATTTTAACTAATTTGGTTCAATTATATAAAACTATAATCAAATAATGACCAAATCTAATTCGGATGTAATAGTAAATTATCCAAATTCCATTTCACTCTAACTGAATACCAAAGTTATAAAATTTATTATATGAATTTATCTACTATAATGCGCATTAACGGGCAACAATAGAGTATACGATGTATTCAGTTGCGGTTAATTCGCCTAGTTTATTTCGGATTTAATAATTCATAAGGAAAACGTTATTTAATTTGAATTTTAGATTATGATTAGACTCGAATTAAATAACCGAAACATTTTTTATATTCCGAAAATCCACTAAAATTTTAACCTAACTATGTCTTTTAAGAATACGGTCTACCTTACCGGACGAGCGTGACCCACCCACCTCGAGCACCAACAGCCATAGACGGACCCACATGTTTATATATGGGTTACATACCCACGTTCATCTAATTAATATTTTTTTTTATAAAGTTTGTAAAATTTTGAATAAAAATATTAAATACGCTCGTAAAATTAAGTTTATGCATAATAAAATTAAGTTTAATCCCATTATATATCGGCTTATGGTCTCTGTTTGGTTGATCCGACGTTATATAAATGCATATAGTAGTGTACGAGAGAGAGAGAGAGAGAGTCTCTCTCTTGTTTCCCATGCAGCATTAAAAAATTCATTATTTGATATTTTATTTATTCCATGGTTATAACTTGGACCAAGGCTGCTGAAATATTCGACAAGGAAAGAAAGAATCAACGAAGTACAGCTCTCCCAAGAAAAGCATTCAAATCGTCAAAACCAGCATTATAATTATTCATTTCAAGCTTAGTATCTGACATTAATATTTCATATCAACTTCTTATTTACATAAACCATTAAATTGGATCCTCCTATATCATATAATGAAATAAGTTCTATATGTCATTAGATCCAATTACTTGTCAAACTCATTGCAATTTATTAATTCATCTCTCTACCTTCCCCGTAACAGTAAATTACATAATTATTTGTTATAATTAAAATCCACCCACCACGATCACGTTGATGCCAGTCTATTCGGCTTTGAACCCTTTGCTCTCTCGCCTTCTCCATCTTCTTCGTCGTCGTCTTCTTCTTCTTCTTCCTCCCTCTCTGATTCTCCATTTGCAGGCGCCTGCTAGAGATATGGGGAACGGCAATTCCACGGAGCACAAGGAGGAGTCCCGCCGGTCAAGGCTCCGCCAAAAGCTCTACAACCTCCGTAAACACCGCCGTCTCCACCGCCGTGGCTCCTCCCGCCCGG